TTTTGGTGTTTTTGTACCAAATTTTCATATACACGAATCAGTTTAAATCAATCCACATCGCACATCACTAACAGAAAACACCCAATAAATTTTAAAGGATGAAGTATTTTCCAGTTCCTGTCTCCTGAATTTAATTCCACGATACACATGCAGACAAGATTCCTGAGTGGAGTCTATAGCCGTTTGCCGTTTGTGTTAAAAGGCAACTGCGTTCATCCATTGCCCCATCAAACATTAAGGAATGAAACCCAGCGGAGCGATTTCCTTCTGAATATGTTCATTAATGCTACAGTATTATCCAGCACATTAGGCAATGTCCACAAACCATTAAATCCATGGTGTGAAAATAACGGGTAATCAGCAGAATGTCCAGCCAAAGATGGGGGATTGAGCTACAGTGGTGAGGCTGGACACTGCACTGCAGGTCCTTTACAGAGGTGTGTGTGTGTGTGTGTGTGTGCACACGTTTAGAATTGTTACATTGTGAGGACCAGATTTCCCCACAATGTAATAAAAACTGCTCATTTTCACCTTTTTTGGTCCCCAGAAAGTTAAGTTAAATTTGTTTTTCTTTTTTTTGCCAAAAGTCTTATTTTGTTTGGTTACTTATGGTTAGGGTTATGGTTAGGGTTAGCATAGTTGGTATTAGTGTTTTTCCCATAGAAATGAATGGAGAGTCCCCACAAAGATATGAGTACAGATGTGTGTGTGTGTCTGTCTGTCTGTCCGTGTGTTTGGGAGGGTAGACCCTTTCCCTGTGCCACCACAGCATCAATAATACATCTGCAGACACATCGACGTCCGTGAGCTCAAAGTGAGATCTGAAACGATCCGTCGGCCCCCATCAATCTGCTCTTCACTCGATGTCCTTCTGCCTTTCTTACCTTCTCTTCAGTTTGATGGTCTTTCCTATCCAGCATCATTAAAGCCCATATCAGATGTACAAAGGCACAGAGTCGTAGCCCGCAGGCAGTCGGGATATCAACGGAATAATCAGAGATGCTCTGTTGGACAAGAACGTAACGCGGGAACAGAACGGTCACGTGCAAACGGCCTTGGAGCATCAGCTAGTCATTCTGAGCAAAGCTGCCCTCAGTTATGGTCTGGAAATCGATATAACCAGCCGAGACAGTAACAGGGAAGAATAAGGCACTCATTTCACCCCAGCGGCGTGAGACAGGAGGGGGCTTTGGCCTAATCGGGCCTTTATTTATAGCTGTTCCTTACATGTGCTTTTCATTACTTTTATCTGTAATTGTAACAGTGAATAAACCCCCCCCCACTGTGTCAGCGTGCCATCCACCAGCCTGCAGCTGAGGGGATGTCTGTGATGGCTGGTCTGTGATGGCTGGTCTGTGATGACTGGTCTGTGATGACTGGTCTATGATGGCTGGTCTGTGATGGCTAGTCTGTGATGGCTAGTCTATGATGGCTGGTCTGTGATGGCTGGTCTGTGATGGTTAGTCTGTGATGGCTGGTCTGTGATGGCTGGTCTGTGATGGCTGCCGCGTAATAGGGCCTGTAGTGTTTTCGGTGAAGATTGCGGCTCTCTGTTACCGGCGAGCACCTGTACCTCAGGTGCTCCAGCTCAGCAGAAGGAAGGGCCGAGTTAGTCACCAGCGATGTGGCCGAATCGAATTACAACGAGAAACAAGGTTGTGAACGCTGCTGCACGGGGGGGGGGCATGTCAGGCAGAATGCAGAAACGCTGTTAAAAAAATGCCACTGATAAAAATGTCTTTTATGCAAGTAGCTGCGTGAAGAGAGTGACTTCGGCTGAAAGTTTAATTAAGTTTACTCTTCCAGACCAAGATTTTGTTTCAACCAACCAGTTGAGCATGAAGAGTCACAGTCACAGAGTACTCAACTGGTTGGTTGAAACAAAATCTTGGTCTGGAAGAGTAAACTTAATTAAAC